TCCTTCCCTAGGCTAGGGCAACGTCTGATGTTAGCTGCATGTTATCTACATCAAATCCCTAACTCCTAAGCACTTATGTACGACTGGGTGAACAGAGACATCAGGAAACGTGCACTAGCACCTCGTCCTGCCCCCAGGAATAGAACCCGGAACCTGCCCATTGTAGGCCGCCTGCCCATGGGACGTGTGGAAAATGCCATGTTTTTGTAATATCTAATCCAACTTTATCGTTAAAGAGAGATTGTAAAAGAAAGTACGCGTACGAATTCTGAGACAAAAGATAATGGAGAGTTTATCTGATTGCTCTCGTTTTTGTTACTTCTCCGAGGCTACGAGTTCTCCCACTCTTACCAGAAGACAGTACCTACTCTCCCACACCCCCCACAGTGTGGGAGTGTAGGGAGCAGGTGTGGGACGGGGTGACAGAGGACGAGGCGTGGGGGCGGAACACTCCCAGCGACGAGCCCCTCACCTTTAAGGCAACATTACCCTACTTCCTCCACTGCCATCATCCACAACACGGCACCCTCATCTGTCACGCTGTTTATCTTCCCCTCTTCCCCTTCCTCTCTTCTTGGTTTTCCCCTCTCTCCCCCTCTCCCCTCCCGCTGAAGGTGGTCTACACACCCCCCACCTCACTGCTGGTAGGCTCCAACACCCCCCTCCCTCCTCACTGCAAGTAGACCACACAACCCATACTGAAGGTAGGATACCACATCCACCCTTCAGGTAGACTAGACCACCCCTCAATGCAGGAAAGCTACGCCAGCAATAATGCAGGTAGTCTACACCCACCCCACAGGTAGTCAACACCCACCCTACACCCACCCCACAGGTAGTCTACACCCACCCCACAGGTAGTCTACACCCACCCTACAGGTAGTCTACACCCACCCTACACCCACCCCACAGGTAGTCTACACCCACCCCACAGGTAGTCTACACCCACCCCACAGGTAGTCTACACCCACCCCACAGGTAGTCTACACCCACCCTACAGGTAGTCTACACCCACCCTACACCCACCCCACAGGTAGTCTACACCCACCCCACAGGTAGTCTACGCCCACCCTACAGGTAGTCTACACCCAACCTACACCCACCCCACAGGTAGTCTACACCCACCCCACAGGTAGTCTACACCCACCCCACAGGTAGTCTACGCCCACCCTACAGGTAGTCTACACCCACCCTACACCCAGCCCACAGGTAGTCTACACCCAGCCCACAGGTAGTCTACGCCCATCCCACAGGTAGTCTACACCCAGCCCACAGGTAGTCTACGCCCACCCTACAGGTAGTCTACGCCCACCCTACAGGTAGTCTACACCCACCCCACAGGTAGTCTACGCCCACCCTACAGGTAGTATACACCCACCCCACAGGTAGTCTACACAGCTGCCGGTAATCAAGACCAGCTCGGGGACAAACAAACTACCTCTCACGGGCGTGACGTCAAGCCGATAATTACCATATTGGCCATCAGTCAGGCGGCCGCCTGCCGTCACGCCCACGTCATCAACAACACCTGTTGAAGGCCGCTTATCAACAAATGTATTTGATCACAGCACAATACAGGTGAACAATGTGGGAGGGACGGTACAGGGAGGGCAGTAGTGGGAGGGAGGTACAGGGAGGGCAGTAGTGGGAGGGAGGTACAGGGAGGGCAGTAGTGGGAGGGAGGTACAGGGAGGGCAGTAGTGGGAGGGAGGTACAGGGAGGGCAGTAGTGGGAGGGTGGTACAGAAGGGAAGCTTCAGAGAGGGCAGTGCAGGTAAATGTCTACTAGCCAGATGAGGAGAGTGAACACCTATGCATCTCCTGGGGAGGGGTTTATACATTTCCTGGCCTATTGCAGTTACACTAAAAGTTGCGATAATTTAGCCAGGAGCAGCTGAAGGTCCTCCCAGGTTACAAGTAACAAATATCGTTCCCAGTATCTATAGGATTGCCCGTAATGTCTTATTTTGATAACCTTTATACCTGATGCTACACTATGCTTTGTGAGGGGTTTTGCATTGCGGGGTTGCAAGTATTTTATGGGTAGGAGAGGCAGGGAAAGATTTGTGATGTGTAGTTGAGATTTTCTTAGATACACCTCCTAGGTTTAACAGACTCAAACTTTTGATTAATTTTGCCAAGGTATGGGTTTCCTCAATTCATTTTGTTATGTCAGGAAACCTGTGTATACTGTATACAGTATATCCTTTAGGTTTTTATCGAGGTCCCACCAAGTTTGCACAATTGACCGTCTCCTGGATACAACCCGACAACAGCTGTCTTACTCTTTGGCACCTACTTACAGTTAGGTAAACATAGTCAGTAAGCCAAATAAACTGCCATATCATTACTGGCATGCCTGGGAATTGAATCCAGGATCCCCCAATTGTGAGTAAAAAATTAAACGAACTGTACTTTGAGACCTTTAAGTTCAACTATTGAGTTGAGGTATCCTCAGTACTTGTAGCCCTGTATACAAGTTGCCCTTGTTGAACATAGCAAAGCTGCAGTGGCATATGCTCTAACAGCAGCCTATATATAGCCCGTCTTTGTCATTTGGATATTTGTGCCGATAGAAAATAACACTAATGAGCCTTCCTAGAGCTCCTGCTAGACACAGAAGGTCAACTACCCACCCCAGGGAAAAGCAGTCTCAACCGAGACTAGTACCATCAGAGCAGGTGAGCTAGCTGGAGTTGGCTCTATCCCTCATGCAGTCTGATGTAGGCTAGATGAGGCTATTTCCATGGAGTGAAACATAAGTGTAAGTGGAGTGACCAGGAGTGTTATTTTTGAGGATGCCTGGGAGAGATCATAATGGCCAAAGTACGTTCATCACACAACAGAAATGTTGGTGTATGAGTGAGAGTATGGCACGATGAGACCAAAGCATACAACTCTACTAAGCTTATCCATTTATGTATCACTCTATGAAGAGCTACCTCTCTTACTTGGTCCAAAACAGAATACAGTAAACTGTGTATATGCTTGACAATGATTGTATCTATGTGTATTAGGAATGAATGGATTAACTGGGAACCTGTATCATGCTTCTTCTATATACTGTACTTGTTCAGACAGAGACAGTCAGCGGGCATAATGAGAGTGCAAGTTGGTGTTGTTTCCCTCCCACATCTTCACAAGTATACCAACCTTCACAATTGGTTGGCTCTCAAGCTCTTCTTAAACTCTTGTATCTGGATACAAGAATTGTATTCTGATACAAAATGGTTGCTTGTGGGCTTTCACCCACAAGTTACAGTCATGCACTCACAGGCATTATACACATACAATTCTAGAAATGAATTTCCATTTGGAGATTTTATTAATAGATATTTTTCATATACCCTGTATGTACACAGTGTACAGGTTGAATACACCCTTGGCATTACCTGATTTACAATTATGCATTTAGAATTAGCATAGAACTAGCACAAATAGACAATGTTAACATCAGCAATAAAAATGGTGGAAAATTCCTTGGCCTATACATAGATAAAAGACTCAACTTCAGCACCCACATACAACACATAGTCAAAGAAAGTACAGTATAAAAAATTGTCGGTATACTCTCTAAAATCAGATATTATGTTCCGCACTCTGCTCTCCTTTCATTATACTACTCACTACTCACTAATCTATCCCTATCTTACACACGGTATCTGTGCTTGGGGTTCAACCACTGCAAATTACCTCAAGCCCATCATCACCCAGCAAAAATCTGCTATCAGAACAATAACTAACTATTTTCAGACAACACACAGCTACTCTGTTTAAATCCCTTAACATGCTAAACATACACTCACTCCGTACATTCTCTTGTGATATTTACACACAAAACCTTGTTCCTTAATGCAAATTCTGATCTGAAACTCTTCCGTGACAGATTTAATAGAACCTATAATCACCAAACCAGAAATAAATATATCTTTGATATCCCCAGAGTCAAACTAAATCTGTGCAAACACTCTCTGCAAGTAAAGGAACCTAGTCTATGGAACTCGCTCCTTAACAAATTAAAAAGCTGTCCAACCTATGCCTTATTCAGAAGTAAAATAAAAAAGTACTTAATTTCATCATCATAGTTTCCTACCTAGTGCTTCAAACTTGCACTGTATCTTGTGCTATGCACTCCCTCAATATATGTGCCTAAGACATGTCAACTTCACCACTGTAATCACTGCTATCAACTTATATCACAGTTTTTTTATTATTTTGTATTTATTTATTTATATATACAAGAGATCTTACATTCTTGTACAGCCATTTGCACGCATGGCATTTCAGGCAAGTCCTTAATCCTATGTATCTTGGAATACGACCCCGCCAAATCGTTTAACAACCAGGTACCCATTTTACTGTAGGGTAAATAGAGGCTACAGTTAAGAATTGGTGCCCAGTAAATATTCCCCGGCCAAGATAAGAACCCAGGACATAGCACTCGTGAAATACCAGGTGAGTGTCTTACCACTACACCATAGGGACTGCTTGATTGGTTCAAGTTATGTTGAACACAAATTTTGCTACAATATACTGTACCTATTAATAGTCCTCAAATTATGCTACAATGTACCTGTTTATAATCCTCATAATTTACTAAAATGTACCTATTTGTATTCTTCAAATTTTGCTACAAATACCAACTTAAAAATTATCTTTTAGATTAAGGACCTACCCAAAATGCTATGCATGTTAGTGGCAATGCAAGAATGTAAAAACATCAATGCTATGTACTCTCATAAACCCAATGTACCTTCTTGAATAAATAAATAAATAAATAAATAAATAAATAAAAAATTGAAATATTCTGCCTCTTTGGTGAAGGGCTTTTGGCCATTGCACCTTAGGGTCAGTCAAGATCTTAACTCTATATTCGCCAAAAGGAGGGTCTGAATCAAAAGGAACCTGTTCTATAATCCAGTTCAGAGATAGAAGACTCGTGGAACTGGTCGCTCATCATTCATTCCAGATCTATAATATATAACTGGAAATAATACTCACTCATCGGGTGTTTGAGCTTCGCCCCATGCCATCTTGGGGGTTTTCGCACCTTGGAGGGAAGTAACTTTGTATCCTGATGAGTCTGTCCGAGGTCTTAGAGATGAACCTGAGCCTGATCTAGCTTTACGGCCTAATTCACTTGGTGTAGGCACAGTTTGACGCGCAAACCTCTTGGACGGTGACCTGCATGTGAAATAAATTTAAATTGTTATACAGTAAGTTCTTAATAGGGATAATGTAACTGAGAGTAATGATTGATTTCTTTTTGGTTATAAGGAGGGTGATAAGTAAAGTGAATTGATAGGACTTTGAAAAAGACGAGTGTTGTGTCAGATCAAAATGCAGTGTCTCAGAGATTGGTTAAATTTCTAGTTGGTTGAGATACAAAATAAAAGGATAAAAAGCTGATAACCAGACTTAATTGTGTAGAAATTTGCCACGAAAAGAAGAGGAAAAGAAAATATGCAAAGGTTAATTAAGCATTCCCACTAGAAGCATTGAATAGTGAATAAAGAATGAGAAATGTATGTTTAAATAAAAAGGTGTTGACAAAGATAATTAAATTAGAAACAGATGGAGAAAATACTTTAAGAACTAATATTATGTGATGAAAGATAGAGGCAATGGCTCAAAATGTATAAAGAAGGGAATAGGATGAAGCCACTATAATGTTGAAAGAATCTTTACCATACCAAAATATAGAAAAGCAGTTAAGGTATAGATTGGTAATTTAAATTCAAGGAGGTGGAAAGTTAATGACTGCAATTGAGTGGTTGTAGGAGATGATATAGCATCATAGTAGTACTGTACTGTGGTAAATTATAAAGTGGCACATCTCTGGACATCAGCTCTTATAGCATAGTGAGAAACCAGGAGAATGCGTTGAACTTGTGGAATATAGTTCAATAACATGTTGAAACATGAAAGGAAACTTATAGAAACATGGTAGGAAAAAATATTATAACATTAATATTTCATCAGAAGGCTGAATAGTACGTGTATATGATGCTGCACAAACCACTCACAAAAGGGCAACTCAAAGACGGAAACAGAGCATTAAACATATAGACAGGATCGAGAGGGGACAAAATCCTCAGGATAAAATAAGAATAAATAAAATATAATGGAGGTATGTGTATTAGGAATGCTTGATATCAAGCATCAACCCCATATCAAGTGGCTATATCAATCCAAATCAAGAATCCATATCAAGTGGCTGCACAACTCTTGGCTCACAACCTACTACCCCCTCACTGCTTGGGGCTAAAATACCTAGCACAACAATAATGTATCTTCAACCATAAAAGTATATGAAACTCTGCTTGGGGCTGAAATACCTGGAACATCTACGTAACTATTCTCCAAACAAAAGAAGAAATCAATCTCTCACCTTACACTGTGTCTTACATGCCAATAAGCATTCAAGCACTTCCCTTATACAATAATATGTCCAAAATGGTCCTATGTAATTCTTATTTTATTTATGCACTGAAAGCCACAGGTTTAGTCATAACTTACCGAACAAATGTGCGTTCAACTCTTGCTCTTCTTTTGCACTCCTCCACAGTTTGAAATTCTGTACGCCCACTATAACGAAACTTGCTGCCCAAAGTCAACAGATTTCTGGAATACAACAAATGATTAATAAGCTTTTCTGTCATATTGTGCAACATAAATACAGCACATGCTGTGTGAGGTACAAAAATATGACAGACATACAGTATTTAAAGATCATAAATTTATAACAATACTGTATAACAAAATAATGTAAAAAGATCTTCATAAATTATACAATTAAAATGTGTAGATACTGTACTTATAATTACACACAGAAATCACAATAACGTGATGCATCAATGAACAATCCACAAGGGCCGTGACGAGGATTCGAACCTACGTCTGTGAGCATCCCAGACGCTGCCTTAATCGACTGAGCTACGACATGAACAGATGGTAAAAGAATTGAAACCGAAGTTCTACTGAACTTACTGGATCCTGCAGCCTCTCCGAGACACAAACCAGGGTTTTACACAACTCCCCCATGCACTCGAGCTATGTCAATAGGCCGTTCTACCTCTTTGCCCTTCCTTCATTACATGTAAATGTAGAACGGCCTATTGACATAGCTCGAGTGCATGGGGGAGTTGTGCAAAACCCTGGTTTGTGTCTCGGAGAGGCTGCAAGATCCAGTAAGTTCAGTAGAACTTCGGTTTCAACTCTTTTACCATGTCGTAGCTCAGTCAATTAAGGCAGCATCTGGGATACTCACAGACGTAGGTTCGAATCCTCGCCATGGCCCTTGTGGATTTGTACCTATAAAGTTTTGATTCCTAACAAAAATTCTTAATAAAATAATAATTCTACTAAAAAATTACTTTTGCACATTTCTCATTGATGTTGCAGCATGTACAGGAAGCTGAGCAGGCTTCCAACAAGCTGCCGGCTTCCTGGCCTCGTCGAGACCACTAGTGTCAGGGGCTCTTAGGTAAACTCGGGTAAATTCCGGTAAATATACAGTAGTTTACTGAAGCAAAAGGTATTGTAGGAAATGCAGAAGAGACCCAGTGAAGATTAGAGGTGCTGTGAGCACAATCAGAGAATGTTGAATGAACATCAGTGGCCCACGGTTCTTTAGCTTTCACCATATACAAGAAATATTTTCCAGAACAAAAGTGGATGTTTCACGAGGCAATTGGACAAATTCCTACAACAAGTGCCAGATTGGCCAGGTTGCATTGGACATGTGGGTCTGTGGGTTGTTGCAAGCAACAATTTGACTGAAGTTATCACACAAGACTGGCTCCAAGCTGAGCTTCTGGAGAACACCTCTCAAAACCAACTACAGTACAGGTAAACCTTTTATAAATGATCAAATATACACCATATACTGTATTGTGTTAGACACAAACTACTTTTATCATTGATATTCAAAATTCAACAGGTTCTATTGGTTAAAGGAATTACTGAAACTTATTGAATTAGGTAATATTATAACTGAAATGAAAACTACTAAATCTTACAAGGTAAAAAGTTTGCTGAGATCATTCAACTTAATAGATACTATATTGTAATGTATAATAATTAAACTGCTAAATGTTCCTTTCACTTATTGCATAATGAATACAAAGGGTACAGTTGCTCACTTTCTTGCAGGAGTCCTCGGAGTATGTAGTCGGAAGAATGTGTGATGTTCAACACAGGATTTCCATAAGCACTTGCATGCCCTATATGAGGCAAGGTTGAAGCCCAACACACTGTCATAATTCTCAGACTGAAATAAAGTTATACAATTTTGTGTGACCTCTGAGGGCAATTTCTTAAATTACAGTACAACACTATATTAATAAAAAGTTCTATGAGTTTTACAAATCAGCAAAGGAAACTTATCCTATAACATTGACAGCATAGATCAACATTATAAAATAATAATGAATTATACTATCTACTGTAGTAAAATATAAATTTTCTCATTCTTATTTCCCAACTATTTATTTTCCTTCTTAAAAGATTAACTTAAACTCCAACTATGCAAAGTGACAAAAACTTACTTCCAATTAACTGTGTACACTTTACGGTACTGTATTGTATTTCTATTAATTTACTATTTGCCTTATAGGAGTTTTAATATGCTGGCACCATTATATACCAGTACCATACTGTCTCTGATACAACATATTCACTGAAGTTCATTAAGCATATTGTAGATGGGTTAAACTTTTAAAGTTGTTTAGTAGCGGGTATGTGACTCTCAAGACTACATACATGCTCATGTAAAGAAAACAAAGGTGTGGTGAGATGCATCACAGGCAACAAGTCAGTACATATAACTAGTGACTTGCCTCTCCACAAAAACACATCCTCCTATTTGCTTCACACTTATCATGCAATATGTACAATTCTATACCACTCTCATGTTTGGAAGTTCATTTCAATCTCACCAAAATTGAATGGAGCAGATATATCAGGATTCGAAGGCAGTGCAAGCTCATAATTGGTTTCATAGATGGTATAAGTATGACATTTGCACACGAAACAAGTCTGGATGAAAGCACTGCCAGAGCTTGAGTTAAAATTATGGCAAAGATTCACCAGAGCAAAAAGACAGCAAAGGGAATGAGGGTAAAGACATGACCTGTCGGCATCATTATAAGTCCTCAACAAGGGCATACTTAAGTGACCAATGGAGACAAGATCTCGGTTGAGGAGCATAATCAAGAGTTACCCAACACTATACCAGCCATTATATATCACATCAGTCAGCTGAATGAAGATTTTATTTCTATATTCACACAGATAGTAAGTCTTGTTTGGGGGGGGGGGTTAAATCCCTGAGCATATTACTGTATTTGTCTAGTAATCCTTTATACTACCACCTACAGGATGAGAATGGGGGTGCATAATAAATTAACTAAACTAACGTTTAATGAAAGGAAATGCACACTTATTCATAAAAAAATTACTAAGACAATTTATGGACAGAAAGAACATAGAATTTATTTATTCAATTATACAATTGAATGACTACTGTACTTTCTTTTCCTTAAAGTCAGAAGTATGTTTGATTATTCCTAGGGTTTGGTCAGCTTTCTTTACTACTGCACCCACTTGTTGTGCAACTTTAAGTGAACGATGTATTCTGACTCTAAGGTCCTTTTCCTCATCAATCTGCTGCGCAGTAATGTTGTTTATTTGATTGTTGTGGTATGGATTGTTATGCCCCACATGCAAGGTCTTTAAGCATCATTTCAATTTTTGACACATTACCTGTATTAAGGCATTAAAGGTTTGGGGATAATCGACCTACCCAATAACATCATTACACACTGTTGGCAGCCATCATCTATAATTATGTTTTTAAATACTGACCAATTGTGTTTAAATATTCACGGCTTTGTTGCAGTCAATTTATTTGAACTGGTAAATGATCCCCTGAGGTCATGGAAGCTACTTTTACACTATTATTTCACTTATAAGGATTGAGTAAAATAGAATCAAGGTCATAGATGCTACCATTATATAAATTAATTGTTTGGGCCTTTCCAACTGCTACCCAAGTGAGTGGAAGGACATCTGAGGTGTACCTCACCTCTACAGGAGTTTATAAGCCTTTTATAAGCCGTTCATAAGTTTTATTATTTGCAGAGTAAATAGTCAGTGGTGATTTAGCCTGTGTTACAAAATATTCCAATACATTATTGTGCAAATGGATTTACTTCAGTGAAGGTTCTACCTTCTAATAGCAGTTTCCACCTTCTAACAGCATGTCATTGCAGTCGACTATACCCCAACGGTACCCAGGTAGGCCATAAGATGGTTTGATCTGTGCATTGGCTAATATACATTTCATCATCACAATGATACTCAAGTAGGTGGTAGAAAAATTAGTTTTTCTGTCCAGAGATCTGTCAGTGCTGGTTTGTGGTCTCCTGGGTTCAGCTTGAGTTTCCTTGGCATTTCTGTGTTTGTATATACAGTAATTCTCTCCAGGTCTGAGAGATGCCTATGTTGGACCTGAAGAATTGAGCAAGTGAGCTGTGCCAGTGAGCTGTCTGGTGGTTCAAAAAGAATAGCTGAGAAGTGTCACGGTACTGTACCTCCGTCAACAAAATGCATAGCCCAGTATGACACCTTTTCCCTTCCACACATTGCTCTTCGCCCTGCCCTTCCCTGCTAAATTCTCTTCTGGGTGGTTATCTGGTATACATTCCTTGGTGCAGATCTGTGTTTGAACCCCCTGGTGTTGTTGGTTTATAACCAGGCACAACGAGCATAGTATGTTTTCCTGTATGTTTTATATAATAATAATTTATAAAATAATAATTTATTCACAAGAATAAATGGCTTGGTGAGATTACATAAGATTGGTATTTTTACATTCTTGCAAAGCCACTAACACGCATAGCATTTCGGGCAGGTCCTTAATGTAACATATCAGGTAAGATGAAAAGGTACATTGTAGCAAGGTTTTATACTGTATCAACAAATAACTACAATATAAATTGACAGGTGATTACACTGGTGAAGATATATGTCTTTAATACTAATATTGGAGAAGTAGGCAGTACTGTACAAGATACAGTGTGAGTTTGAAGCACAAGGTAGGAAACTATGAGGATGAAATAGGTACTTTTTGGTTTTACTTTTGAATAAGGCATAGGTTGGACAATTTTTAATTCATCAAGGAGTGAGTTCCACAGACTGGGTCCTTTCATTTGCATGGAGTGTTTGCACAGATTTAGTGAATTTGATTGGAAAGACTTGCTATTAGGCAGAGGTAAATGAGACATATTCCGAATTTTGTGAAATACATGATAAAGGGACAAAAAATTTATACCGACACAAAAATGCAGAACTAGAAATCAGGTCTGGGTCAACAGAAATTGAGAGAGGGTCAGAGACCAAAATACAAAAAATGGAATCAATATAAGAGGAGTTCAAACTGTCAAACATACCAGCAATATAAAGAAGCAAGAAAAAGCTATACAGCAGTGAGAAGAGAGACAGAAAGAAACTTTGAGAAAGGGATAGCAGGCAAATGTAAAATAGAACCAGACCTATTCTCTAAATTCATTAAAATCAAACTGCAGGTAAAGGATAATATTCAGAAGTTGAAAACAGATTCACAGAGAATGAAAAAGAAACAATTGAAACACTAAATGAACTGTTCCAAAGTGTGTTTGTGCAAAATGGAGTTTCCAGAGAACCAGACACTGCCAATTCCAGAGAACACCATGAAGGTGTCTCGAGACGAAGTGGAAAAATTACTCAAGGAACTAGGAAGAAATAAAGCATTTGGACCAGATTGAGTTTCACCTTGCATTCAGAGAGAATGTGCACCTGAGCTGAGCATTCCACTTCAATTGATATTCCAGATATCTTTGTGTATAGGAAATTTAGCAGATATATGGAAAAAGACAAATATGTTCTAGTCTACAAAAATAGCAGAGAAGATCCTTTAAATTATAAACCTGTATCACTGACAAACTTAAAGTGTACTGGTGAAAACACAAGAAAAAATAGTTAAAACAAAGTGAATAGAATACCTGAAGAGAAATTATATAACATAATAACAGAGTGGTTTTTGAGCAGGAAGATCGTGTAACAAATCTACTTAGTTTTTATAATTCATATATATTATGATAGTCACAGAGATTCTACAGGAAAGAGAAAGTTGGGATTGACTCTGTTTACCTGAGAGGCACTAACACTAATGGCCTCAATGAGGACAGGAAGCCAGCGGCTTGTCGAAGATCTTCCCCATTTGCCCTGTTTATCTGGACCTAAAATAAGGCATTTGACAGAGTTCCATACAAGAGGATGTTTTGGAAACTGGAACATGCTGGAGAGGTAACAGAGACACTGCTGACATGGATGAAAATTTTTCTAACGGCTGGAAAGATGAGTAGTAATCAGAGGCAATGTATCTGACTGGAGGAGTGTTACTAGCAGAGTACCACAGGGTTCAGTTCTTTCACCAGTAATGTTTATTGTCAATATAAATGATCTAACAGAAGGAATGCAGAATTAAATGAACATGTTTGCTGATGATGCTAAGCTACTAAGAAAGATAAGAAGATAGAAGAAAAAAAAAAGAGACAATATGATCACTATGTACAAAATACTACTGGGAATTGTGAAAATTGATAAAAAGAATTCTTGAAACCTGGAACTTCAAGAACAACACGTCATAGATTTAAGTTATTGAAACAAAGCTACCAACAAAAACTAGAAAGTTCACTTTTGCAAACATAGTGGCAGATGGTTGGAACAAGTTAAGTGAGAAGGCAGTGGAGGCCAAAACCATCAGTAGTTTCAAAGCATCATATGACAAAGAGTACTTGGAAGACTAGACACCTGAGCATACCTCTCTTCTTCTAACTACATATGCATGCACGACCCCCTCCCCCCCACTTCTCCACCCCCACACAGTTATGTACATACACACGCGCAATGCATCCCATTGCTATATGGAGTTGAATCACTGAGATATAAAAGGAAACTTTACTATTAAAGCACTTATTGTGCTCTGTGAATAGAATAAAAAGAGCAGTACCACTTCTGTGAGCTAAAACTTGGTTCTTATAAATGAGAAAGTTGCATCACATTGTGGAATATTACAACCCTAGACATTCAACATTAGACTGAATAAAATACTCAAAGCTCCACAACATAAATATATAATTTACAATTCTTTTATTTAAGACCTGTCACCTAAGAATATTATATAAGTCTAGTAATGACAAAACATGCTTTTAGTAAATCTATCTATGTAATGTCACCCCTTTAACATATTCACAGCAGGGTGGCACATGCAAAACATTATGTAATTTGCGGGAAATTAGTTAGGTCAACCTGTCAAAAGGTACTAACAAAACCAAAGTCATTACTGTGTATACATTGAAAATACCATACTAAACATCAGGAATTGTGAGCAAAAAACTTGAGGCAAGCTATGTTAAATTACAGGAAAACTGCAAGGTATAGCTTCATCTCACAATAGCTGGTTTCTTCATTAGAATGACTTATTAAAGCACCAGGAAATCATGTCACTAAAAAGTGACAAACTACCTTTGTATAGAGCTTTTTCTTGAAAATTTGTAGAAAAGAACTTGGGTCTTCCTTACTGTCGGCCTGGTCTGTCTATGTAAATCGATACAAAAAAAAAACTTATAAAATTATGTTTGATGGTGCATTATATTTATTCAAAGTTATAGAAAAGTAATCTTGAAAGCTGTACACTAATACAATACTAAAGTATATTTTTAGGTTCCTTTAATTATATAAATTTATTAATCTAGGGTACAGTACCACTGTAAATATACTGTACTGTACATATATCATTTAAACCTAACTCTCTATTACTACTGTATTCTGAATAGAGATAACAAAGCCTTTACAAGCAAGACTTATCATTTTGGCATTTCTCTACGTGGACATCATGGTGACATGGTCGTTATTCACGAACACATCTGATTTCATTCGGCGACTGAAGCACTGCAGCATAAAAGAGGTGGTGTCCATTACATCCTCTCATAAGTCTTTTCTGCTTCCATCAAAATACTGAATATCACATCTTGATGACTTATCTTGAGGCTATCTTGAGATGATTTTGGGTCTTTTTAGTGTCCCCACGGCCCGGTCCTCTAAGCTCTAATTTTATTTAACTCCTATATATAGCCAATATTTTTCAGTTCAACGAAAAAGTTGGTAACGTGTGTGTATACTCTTATCTTGTTGATACATTTCTTCAGGTGAGGGCACCACACCACTGCTGCATATTCCAAACTTAATTTGATGAATATTATGAACAGGCTTTTCAATAATTCAACATTCACTGAATGGCAAAATAAAGTTGAACAATATTGCAGAGAAGCTTGATACAACTTCATTAGCATGCACATACAAGCATTTGAGCAAGTGCACATACTTTATACTCTCTGATAACATTCACATTGTAATCTTCAATACTTGGCAAACTAGACACTGATGATAATAATTATTTATATCCTAATAAAGTTATGGACTATATCTGAGAAGTTACAAGTTAAATTTAACAATTCCCAATTAAGAGAATTAACCAAGTTGAAAAAAATATAGAGCATAGAATCTTTAAACTGAAACAAGTTCTAATAAACTTAAAGACATATTACTTCTTACCACTTCTCTTCTAAGCTGAATAAAAAACTGCTTCCGCTTGAAAGAAATCTTGACAATTTTGGCCCAGCTAAATGTATTTATTTTAATTGCATTCTGGAACACTACCAGACCGATCGCAGTTACACCCAAATGTATCTCGCGGTTGGTCGAGTCCTGGAAAGAAAAAATTATGCCTAAGAAACGCCATTAAAGACATTTCAAAATCATAGTACTGCACCATGAACTATAAAACTCAAATATGTTGTGCTTCTTTAAAGTACTGTATGTGAGTTTAAGATACAAAATACTGTCGATCCTATTTTGTTTAATTTTATTAGATTGTTAAAACTATATTGGGTGGATTATGTCCATTAATCCTCAATGGATTACTCCATTTTAAATATAAAAAATATATTTTTTATTCTGACAATAAAATTGACAAAATTATGATTTCTTTGTCTAAAGTTGTATGTTATATGGTACTGTAATGTAGGATACTTTCTTCAACTTCAGTCATGTCAGTTTTACCAAAGTAAAAAAAAAATCAAAACTTACGTCTTAATTAAATGGTCAATTTAAACCTTATACGTGGTTCAATACCAGTACAGTAGATCTTTTCTTAAAATATATTAAAACAGAGAGATTTGTTTTCAGTGTACAAAAAAATAAAAAATAAACACCCAAATAATAATACAGTACTTTGTATACAAGTTTAAACTTATACTGTATACTCATCTGGGGGTTATACTGTTATACAGTACTAACAATCAGCAACAAAATATACTTTAAGTTGTACCTTTATTCATGTTACAATACTGTGCAGTACTTCTAAATGAAAGTCACAAGACAGCCAAAGGTTATAATATGCCTTCCATAGTTTTGTATCTTCTACAAAATTCCAAAAATTATAATGAAATTCATTGAAACATTTTTTATTAGACTTACCCTAACTTTGTGCAGGTCAACGCCGTAGAGGTCTAACCGCTTAGCATGATCTAAGAAATTGAACTCTGCGTCTGCTGGAGTCTGTCCTCTGCAGGGAACAGGATGGAATGAGAAAACATGACTTCTGTTGTCGCCAAAAAAAAACTGAAGAACTGAATGAATTAATAATTTAGCGTTCCACTGATGTCATTTGTGCACTGATGTTCCAATGTGTCATTTATACTTCGATTGTAAACATTTCAATGGTTCTAAAATACATCAACCGACTGAAATTTCTGAAAAATAATTTTTATATACTCTACATATTTTTTATACACTGAAATTATCAGCAGATACAATGATAATAGAAGATTTGACATAGGCAAAGCACTACATGTCACTCTCAGTACTCAGTAAACTGTGAGTAAAGCAAAGACCCAACTAAACTGCTCCACAGCCACATCAGGTGGAAAACAACAGTGAAAGAACAAGTGATGAAACTGAGAAAAGGGGAGAACAGATACACAGAGAATGACAAGGTGTGTGAAGTACTCAACAAGAGATTCCAGGACTTAACAATAGAACAAGGAGAAGCCCCTGCACTAAATGAGGAGGCGGTAAACCAAGCAACCTTGGAGGAATTTGACCTCACCAGTGATGAAGTCAAAAGGAATCTGTTGGAGCTGAATGTGAGAAAGGCTGTTGGGCCTGACAGAATCTCACTGTGGATACTAAAAGAAGATGCAGAAGCACTAAGTGTGCCACTCTCTACGGTGTATAACAGGTCACTGGAAACAGAAGAACTACCAGAAAGCTTGTATACAGCTAATGTAGTCCCAATATACAAAAAGGGTGACAGGCAAGAGGCACCAAACTACAGGCCAGTTTCCCCTAACTTGTATACCATGCAAGGTGATGGAGAAGATCGTGAGGAAAAGGCTCATAGAACACCAGGAGAAAAAGAGCTTTTTAACACACCACCAGCATCGGTTTAGGGATGGTAAATCATGCCTCACAGGGTTAATAGAACAATATGACTAACAACAAAAATTAGACAAGAAAGAGAAGGGTGGGCAGACTGCACTTTCTTGGACTATCTGAAAGCCTTAGACACAGTACCCCATAAAAGGCTTTTACAAAAGTTGGAGAAACAGGCAGGAGTAAAAGGTAAGGTGCTCCAGTGGATAAGGAAGTATCTAAGCAACAGGAAACAGCAAGTAACTGTGAGGGGGGGAGACATCAGGGTGGCGAGATGTCACCAGCAGTCCCACAGGGCTCTGTACTATACCAGTGGGCATAGACTCATTCCCCTCAATGTTTGCTGATGATGCAAAAATTATGATAAGAATCAAGACAGATGAAGATAGACAGAGACTACAGGACGACCTGAACAAACTGGAGGAATGGTCTAGAAAATGGCTACTAAAGTTCAACTCAGGAAAGTGTAAAGTAAAAAAAACTAGGCGAAGGGAGCAGGAGGCTGAACATGAGGTACCATCTGGGAGGTGAAATCCTGCAAGAGTCAAGTAGAGAGAAAAAGCTTGGGGTTGATATCACACCGAACCTGTCCCCAGAGGCCCACATCAAAAGGATATCATCAGCAGCATATTCAGAATCTTGTATACCACTTATGTCAGACCAATCCTGGAATATGCAGCTCCAGCCTGGAGTCCATACCTAATTAAACACAAGACAAAGTTAGAGAAGATTCAGAGGTATGCCACCAGACTAGTCCCAGAACTGAGAGGTATGAGCTACAAGGAAAGGCTATGGGAACTAAACCTCACGTCCCTGGAAGACAAAAGAGTAAGGAGAGACATGATAACCACCTACAAAATTCTCAGGGGAATTGACAGGGTGGACAAAGACAGACTATTTAGCATGGGTGGATCACGAACAAGGGCTGACCCCTCTCCGGATATACTCCATGTATAGGCCATTATCCCCCCCCCCCATTTTTATGTTATATACAAGTCGTTTGACAAGTTGCCGGCTTCCTGTCCTCGTCGAGGCCTCTAGGGTGTTAATGGCCCTCAGGTAACTAAGACAAGTGAGGTGAAGTGAGAGGTGAGGTGAGGTGTAAGTGGAAAAGAATGAACAATGAGCTAAATGCAGCCCACTAAGAGACGAAACTAAAATTAAAGAAAGTAAACCTTGTGTTTTATACAATACAGCACAATTAGAATTTACAAGTTATTTATATGAGAAATTATTATGGCAAGGGGAGTAAACGCTCATCTCTGGACTCCCCACAAACACACAATACTATGAATACATGATATTACTGTAGTGTGATTTCACTGTGTATGTTATTCATATATTACAAGGCTCACGATACAAAAAATGTAGTAACCAGCAACTCACTTGTGGAGCTTGTGGAGTTCCATAATTTTTTTCTCGAGCTCATCTGTTTGGTTTGGGACAAGTCTCATATCTGCTAGGTATGTATTACCGTGTTCTTCCAAGATGTAGTCGCCCAATTCAGCTGAAATAGACATGGAAATGTTAGTAATCCTTGCATAACACGAACAAGCAGCAACGGTTTCAAGCTCGACAAGCCACAATGCAGGACAGAAAACAAAAGTTGCTTTTCACCCATAAAATTATAAACCCAAGGAACCCGTCTCTCTGCTGAAGCCGTAAATGCCAAAAAACTGCTTTATTTCAAAATCCAGCTGGATAGAATCATGAGGACAAATGGGAGGGGGGCTTTTCGACAAGTCGCCGGCTTCCTGTCCTCGTCGAGGCCACTAAGATAGTGGCCCTCGGGTACATCAGGTACAGTACATATCAGCAGAGGAAGGAAAACTTGCGCCTGTGGCAAGCACTGACATTGCATCCCTGTCCAAACATTCAGCACCACACACCACTGCCACCAGAAGATGAAGCGACGACGACGTTTCGGTCCGCCCTTGACCATTATCTTCTGGTGTGTAGTTACAACGTGATAATGGTCCTGGACGGACCGAAACGTCGTCGTTTCTCCATCTTCTGCTGTGTGGTTGGGTCATTAGACCTACAGCCACGTTATTGTGACTCATCGTCAGCATTTGACACCCATCTCACATAACTTTACCATACAACCATAAAAAATGCAATGCGCTTAACGGTAAGAAATAACTGCTTTAACTACATATAATAATAATAATAATAATAATAATAATAATAATAATAATAATAATAATAATATAATTAAAGACAGATCATACATCTCAAGAAAATTATTTTTTATTTCCAACTATCCGAAGATAGCTTACCTGCCTTTAATAGAAAGTGGTCAGTGGTGCCCCCTTTCAAGCGGTGCCCAGGACACACACACACACACACACACACACACACACACACACACACACACACACACACACACACACACACACGCCATACTTGGCGTGCCCTAGATGCCCTCCCCAAGATTACCCACCTCCTCTGCACGTCAGCCACACTGCGATCGGATGTGGACGATTGAGATTGACAGGTCTATACTCAGGGCAGTAAGCAGTCCAGTGAATATGAACACTGGAGTGTATTCATGGACTCCCCAGGATATGAATAGTGTGATGTAATGCGTACAATGAGTGCAAGTAGGAGGGTATAATGAACATAGGCTCATGTAATAATGAGCAGAGTCAATGTAATGAGTTATCTTGAGGTAAGGTAACCTCAAGGTATGGGGGGTTGTCAAAGGTTGTGTTTTTAAAGTGGTGGTTGGAATTTAATATATGGCGCAGTTACGGTGGTGGTTGTAATTGTAGCGTTGTAATTGTAGAGTTGTAATTGTACAGTTGTGGTGGTTGTAGTTCTTCATTGCGGTGGTTGTAGTTAGACTGTTGCGGTGGTTGTATTTATAGTTGTGCAGTTGTGGTGGTTGTAGTTGTATAGTTGTGGTGGTTGTTGTTGTACAGTTGTGGTGGTTGTAATGGTTGAAGTTATAGTGTTCAGCCATGATGGTTGTAGTGATTCTTGTAATAGTTGTGGTGGTTACAACTGTCCTGATGTTCTACTTGTCTTATGTTTATTATATATTTCACAATACTGTGCAGGGAGTGCCTGTCAGCGGCACTGGTCGGTAACTGAGTGCCTCCTCCCTCCCTCTCTCTTCTTATATACTAGTATAATGTTTGCCGTCTTCCAGCTGCTGGGCAACTCTCTCCTTTGCAGCTACTCATTAACTAGTGAATCTGTAGATAATTTATTTTGTCGACAACACTGGTAATATGTTGTCTGGTCCTCCTTCCCTTCGTTGTGTAGAGCATGTTACATATCCACGCTTCGTGCTTCCCTGCTACCTTAATGTTCACCAGTCTCTCATCTGATCACCCACGGTGCTCCCTGATCACCCACGGTGCTCCCTGATCACCCACGGTGCTCCCTGATCACCCACGGTGGCCCCCTGGTGAGTTTGTAAATGCCACACGGCATCTTCCGTGTAATCTGTTATAGAGTTTCCCGCCCCTGTGTTGAGCCTAGTCAACAAGTGTCTATTCACAAACTGACTGTGATCAACCACACAATCAACCTCACACATTGAGGTTGATTGGCTGTGTTAGAATAAGAATACTACTGTACTACTGTACAGTAGTATTGTACATAATAATTGTAATTGTAGTAGTACAATACTACTGTACAGTAGTATTGTACATAATATATTGTAATATAATACTGTGTACTACTGTACACAAGCGTCACATTACTAGACAACCCTTCACTGTTGGTATTGGTACTGACACTGGAGGGCGTAGGAGGCGAGGAGGGCGGCGGTGGAGGGCTGCACGCCCAGACGCCCCTCCAGCACGTCCCGCCGCAGCTGCAGGAACACATGGTAGCGGGTGTACTCCTCCGTCAGCTTGCCCGGGTCGCTCACCCAGAACTTGACCCGGAAGTACAGCACAGGCAGCCCACCTGCACACAAAAAACAGTAAACAGTAGTAAAAAACAGTAAAAAACAGTAATGTTTACACAGAAAACACTACACATCCTGATACACTAGGCTCTTTATTTACAGGAGTAGGTACACATGGTCCATAGCCTCTCCACATGTAAGTACTAGCCGACCCACGAGAGAATTCCTGTATCAATGTAAACACACAACAATTGAAAATTGGGTTCATGTTAGCACCGAGAACACGGCTGTAATGAGACTTGAGGCAAACACAGATGAGGGCGGCCTGCGTGATACATGGGTATCATGACTGGGAATATTATAGCAGAAAACGACTTAATTGAACGTAGCAACGTACAGGTCCGCCATTGAAGCTATTGTAGGCTTGTCATTCTCGATAACATTCCCCCATTCCCATTCTCAATAACATTTAACGTCCTTTACAAAGCCCCTTGAATGTCCTAACATACGCTTGAGTATTATAGCTTAATGAATAATTGATGTATGACAAAAGTGATAGGGGAAATATAATAGGAATATCGGGTTAAGTAGTGTATACAGAGACCTGCGAGAAGCCCGTCTTCTCAACACATACGTCTCATTTGGGACGTTGTGATCCACAATGTTACATATCCACGCTGCGTGCTTCCCTGCTACCTTAATGTTCACGTATCTTACCTTAACTTACCTACCTTAACGTCCAAAGCACTATGAAAAGTAGCGACTCTCAAAAGTCCACGTTTACCGTGGATCGGTAGGTTAGGTTAGGTGGGTTGATTGGGTCTGTGCTTTTCAGGTTAAGTTAGCACTTTGTATTTTGTAGGTTGTGGCAAATACAGAGAGCGTGCTGCAACGAAATGTTGACATTTATTTTGATCAAAGTTGTGTCGTGCTAAGGCCCACCAGAAAGTTATCCTGCGAGATGTTAGAACTGCAATAGTGATAGATGCAACTGGGCCTCATGTTGGTCTAATAATACAATAGCCCTCGCCTTTATTATATATAAATATTGTATTGAAAGTACGTTAAATATTAGTCATAGTAAATGATGTTCTTGAGTACGTTTAGCAGCGGAAGGCCACCAGGGTGTGAGGGACAGGCGGGACATGATTGACCAAAGCGTCACTAGGGTGTGGGCCATCGTAAGAATACAGGGAGAGAGAGTGAATCGTGAATCAGAGTGTATAAGAGAGCGTGCAGCAGTACTCACAGGTCCCCAGGCTCTTGGTCCTGATACGGAGCTGCTTCTTCACCGGCTTGAGCGGGTCCAGCCATCTCTGTCGTTGGAGGAGAGAGTCTTGTTACGCATGTTATCATTATCAGTAATATCACTCTCCACACACACACACATATGCCAAAAATAGAGGATAGAAGAGAGGTGATATGATCACCACTTACAAAATACTGACAGAAATAGACCTAATTGACAAAGAGGAATTCCTGAAACCAGCAACTCACGAACAAGAGGGACAGATTCAAAACAGAGATGCTGAACAAATATTAGAAAGTTTTCTTTTGCAAACAGAGTGGTAGACGGTTGGAACAAGTTAAGTGAGAAGCTGGTGGAGGCTGAAGTCGTCAGTAGTTTCAAAGTGTTATATGACAAAGAGTACTGAGAAGACGGGACACCACGAGCATAGATCTCATCCTGTAACAACACTTGGGTAATTACACACACACAAAAGACTGGTTTAGTTATAAGATTAAATTGGAGAAGGTTCAAAGGAATGCTAGCAGACTAGTACCCGAGCTGAGGGGTATGGGTTACGAGGAGAGACTACGGGAACTAAACCGAACTAAACCGTGGAGGCATTTATCGCCTGGTGGAGAAAATGATCCCAGCTGACATGGGGTATACAGCTGACCGTTGTTGTTGTCACAGGTCGGGGACTGGATGCCACCCGGTGCCAGTTACTGGATTTATAACACTGATTATAACACAATCGACTTGAGAATGGTCCAGGACGGAACGAAACGTCGTCGTCCCTTCACCTTCTAGTGTGTGGTCTGGTCAACATTAATGTAACACTGATTATTTGCCTGTAATTCCCTAAGGGGTTTTCTGCTTTCTTTCCGGCTTGTGTGAGATCTTGGGAATACTGCCCCCCTCCCCTCCCCCCCTCCCCGAGGATGTGTGAGCGACACACACACACACACTGGTCACTGTATTTACACCGTCACACTGACACAATCTGACGAACAATCCTCATTTAGGTGGACAATACAAATGGGGTAAACAAAATACAATACATAGGGGCGAGGGAGAAGTGGCGGGCAGCCATGTCTAGCCCTCTATGTCGCTTCCAGTGCGGCTTAGGGGTGAGGGGTGAGGAGTGAGGGGTGAGGAGTGAGGGGTGAGGGGTGACGAGGGTATATGTTGTGTACAACTCTACATCATCATATTTTACGGGCTATTCATGCCCGTGCCACCTCTTGGTGGCTGAATCTTCATGAATCATCACTAAATCGACTGTGTGGTATACGGGAGACTCCGTGTCCAGGCTCCTCCACACCTGCACCACCTGTCTCCTCAACACCTGCACCACCTGGCTCCTCCACACCTGCACCACCAGGCTCCTCCACACCTGCACCACCTGGCTCCTCCACACCTTCAAAACGCCCCCATCAAGTCGGTCCACCACCGCCTCGCTTCCTGCAGGTCAGGGTTCGATCCCCGATGGTCCAAGAGGTTGGAGACCGTGCCGACCTTCCTCCTCCATGACCTTCCGAGCCTCCCAGGGGTTATACAGTCGTGCCGTCCTACCACTTTCTCCTCATCATTTCCCTTTCTTACCCCGAATAATTTCCTTCCAGAGGGACTTGACCGGGAGCGTGTCTAAAGCCCTAATCAGAGCGTCAGATCGGATGAGGGGTGTCAGGAGAGCGGGGGGGGGGGGGGGGGGGATGAGGGGTGTTAGGAGAGCGGGGGGGGGGTGGATGAGGGGTGTCAGGAGAGGGTGGATGAGGTGTCAGAAGGGAAAGCTTTAGGGCCACTCTTGTGTCACATTAAAGGTGGCCTCACGCCCCCATGTGCTGACCCCGTGTATTGTTGGTCACTCACTCCTCACACTGCCTCATCCAGTCACTCCCTCACACCCTCACACTGCCTCATCCAGTCACTCCCTCACACCGCCTCATCCAGTCACTCCCTCACACTGCCTCATCCATTCACTCCCTCACACTGCCTCATCCAGTCACTCCCTCACACCGCCTCATCCAGTCACTCCCTCACACTGCCTCATCCAGTCACTCCCTCACACCGCCTCATCCAGTCACTCCCTCACACCGCCTCATCCAGTCACTCCCTCACACCGCCTCATCCAGTCACTCCCTCACACCGCCTCATCCAGTCACTCACAAAGGCCGCCAAATTAATTCCCTTTGTTACTTCACACAAAATAGTCTGACGAGAAACAGTGGCAGTGTCTCTTTAACTGCCTGACGTCCTGACACCTGAGTGGCTGACACCACAGGCCTCCTGACACCTGAGTGGCTGACACCACAGGCCTCCTGACACCTGAGTGGCTGACACCACAGGCCTCCTGACACCTGTGTGGCTGACACAACAGGCCTCCTGACACCTGAGTGGCTGACACAACAGGCCTCCTGACACCTGAGTGGCTGACACAACAAGCTTCCTGACACCTGAGTGGCTGACACAACAGGTCTCCTGACACCTGAGTGGCTGACACAACAGGCTTCCTGACACCTGTGTGGCTGACACCACAGGCCTCCTGACACCTGAGTGGCTGACACCACAGGCCTCCTGACACCTGTGTGGCTGACACAACAGGCCTCCTGACACCTGAGTGGCTGACACAACAGGCCTCCTGACACCTGAGTGGCTGACACAACAGGCCTCCTGACACCTGAGTGGCTGACACAACAGGTCTCCTGACACCTGAGTGGCTGACACAACAAGCTTCCTGACACCTGAGTGGCTGACACAACAGGCTTCCTGACACCTGAGTGGCTGACACAACAGGTCTCCTGACACCTGAGTGGCTGACACAACAAGCTTCCTGACACCTGAGTGGCTGACACAACAGGTCTCCTGACACCTGAGTGGCTGACACAACAGGCTTCCTGACACCTGTGTGGCTGACACAACAGGTCTCCTGACACCTGAGTGGCTGACTTTAACAGGCGTCCTGACACCTGAGTGGCTGACACCACAGGCGTCCTGACACCTGAGTGGCTGACAACAGGCGTCCTGACACCTGAGTGGCTGACACAACAGGCGTCCTGACACCTGAGTGGCTGACACAACAGGCGTCCTGACACCTGAGTGGCTGACACAACAGGCGTCCTGACACCTGAGTGGCTGACACAACAGGCCTCCTGACACCTGAGTGGCTGACACAACAGGCGTTCTGACACCTGAGTGGCTGACACAACAGGCGTCCTGACACCTGAGTGGCTGACACAACAGGCGTCCTGACACCTGAGTGGCTGACACAACAGGCGTCCTGACACCTGAGTGGCTGACACAACAGGCGTCCTGACACCTGAGTGGCTGACACAACAGGCCTCCTGACACCTGAGTGGCTGACACCACAGGCCTCCTGACACCTGAGTGGCTGACACCACAGGCCTCCTGACACCTGAGTGGCTGACACAACAGGCGTCCTGACACCTGAGTGGCTGACACAACAGGCGTCCTGACACCTGAGTGGCTGACACAACAGGCTTCCTGACACCTGAGTGGCTGACACAACAGGCCTCCTGACACCTGAGTGGCTGACACAACAGGCGTCCTGACACCTGAGTGGCTGACACAACAGGCTTCCTGACACCTGAGTGGCTGACACAACAGGCCTCCTGACACCTGAGTGGCTGACACCACAGATCTCCTGACACTTGAGTCCATAGTCCAGCCTGTCAGCTGCCACAACGGACATAAAATGGGGTGTTAAATAGCTCAAACCTAACCTAAAAGGGAGACTGTTAGCGAGGTGTTATGGTTGATAGTACACCTTTACTTAACTGCCTGTTGGGGAGAGGTTTTAACGTCAAGCATTGATAGGACTGGTTACCCTGGAAACACACACCGAAACTGTCTCTATTTTCCGCTTGTTACAACTTTATTTCAAGTTGTTATATCTTGGCTTAACGTGTTTATGACGTATTAGAACGTTGTTACAACCTGCTATACTGGTTGTTATAACTGGTTAGGTGATGTTAAAACTTGTTCGAACGTTGTACCAACGTCGTAGTTTCGGTGTGTGTTTGGCGGGTATATGTCATTGGTCTATTGGTAGATGTTGCCTGACATTGTGGTAGAGAGTGTGATGGCGCAGTATAGGTGAGTCAGGTCACTCACGCAATGCTGTAGTGTGAGTCAGGTCACTCACACAATGTTGTAGCGTGAATCAGGTCACTCAAACATCTATCCGGACCATTTTCAAGTCCTAAATGGGACTTGATCATAGTCCAGAGTGAACCAAAACGTCATTTCTTCATTTCCTGATGTGTGGGTTTGGTCATCACATCTTCAGCCACATTACTGTGACTCTTCTGCAATTGGATGATCACAGTCTCCAATGGAAACATGTCATTCGATTAATGGCATGTTTTGCCATTAAAAACATGCAATTAGATCCCGCACCAGTTCTAATGGAGCACTTGAGTACACTGTCAATTTCCCTGATAATTTTGTATGTGGTAATCATGTCTCCCCTAACTCTTCTGTCTTCCGGGAACGTGAGGTGCAATTCAAACAGCCTTTCCTAGTAACTCAAGCTTCTTAGTTCTTGGGCTAGTCTAGTGGCATACCTCTGAACTTTCTCCAGCTTTGTCTTGTGCTTGACAAGGTACGGACTCCATGCTGGGGTCGCATACTCCAGCATTGTGGTATACAAGGCTCTAAATGATTCCTTACACAAGTTTCTAAAGGCAGTTCTGATGTTAGCCAGCCTCACATACGCCGCTGATGATATTTTGACGTGGGCTTCAGGAGACAGGTTCGGTGTGATATCAACTCCTAGATCCTTCTTTCTGTCCGTCTCGTGGAGGACTTTCGTCTCCCATTCCGTATCCTGGGGTCTGGCCTCCTGTTTCCTCAGGTTAGTTTCATTACCTTATTACAGTACCTTACCTAGTTTCATTACCTTACATTTACTGGAGTTGAACTTTAGTAGTGAGGAAGGAGAGTCTTGAGATGTGTGTGAGGGGCAGGCGGAGGCGTCTACCGTCTTGCCGCCGCCAACAGTAGAAGTGAGGCCAGTTTATTTTCATTGATCCCACAGGAGAAATCTGCCAGACAGTGTGATGCCGC